AACAAATCTGAGAAAGGTCTACATGTAGTATCTATATATGTAAAATATCACTTTTCACCAAAAATGACAAAAATATTAAAGATATCATTACGAGATGAACAAATCTGACAGAGGTGCACATGTAGTACCTATATATGTAATATCAAAGCAATTGAACTTGTGGTTTTTAACAAGAAGTAGAAAATATCACTTGTTAGCAAAAATGACTAAAATATTCACCAAAATTAGAGAATTGAAGATATCATCATGAAAATGAACAAATTGAAGAGTAGTCTATCTAAGGTACATATACACCAAGTATCAAAGCATTTGGACTTGTAGTTTCCAAGAAAAAGTTGAATCAAAGAAAGCTTAGAAAGAACTCCCATGTGCTGAGAGTATTGGAGACACATTTAATATAATTCAAATTACTTGTACTTGATTGAGATAGTGATGGAAAAGCTGAAAACTAATAATGCAAATCAGAAAATTAATATGAACAGATTTGAGTGTAAAACCAATGATGTCTTCGCAATGTAACAAACCATCTGTGTACCAAGTTTTATTGAAATGTGATTGGAACCCAAAAAAAATTATGAATTATTATGCTAATTAGGGAATTAATATAAACAGATTGTAACCCCAAACTAATCAGGTTTGTACATTGCCCTAGAGCATCTTTGTACCAAGTTTCATTGAAATGGGATGATTAGTACCGGGGTACTTGAGAAATCAGTGTGAAAGCTGAAAATTAATTAATTATGCAAATTAGGTAATTAATATGCCCAATTATTTACCCTAAAACTAACCAGGTCTTTGGATAGTCCTAAAAGGTCTATGTACCAAGTTTCATTGAAATGTGATGATTAGTACTTGAGATATCTGTGAAAAAGCTGAAAATTTACTAATTATGCAAATTAGGTGATTAATATGCACAAATATTTATCCCCCAAAAAATTAATCTCTGCAAAGTCCTTGAGTATCTATGTACCAAGTTTCATTGAAATGTAATGCTTACTACTTGAAACATCAAAAGCTGAAAATTAATTAATTATGCAAATTAGGTAATTAATATGCACGGATATTACCCTAAAAATTATCAGATCTGTGCAGTGTTCTATGACATCTATGTACCAAGTTTCATTGAAATGTGATAATTAGAACTTGACCAGTGGAAAAACCGAAAATTCACTACCAGTAATCATTATGCAAATTAGGTATATAGTAATTAGGTAATTTTTACCAAAAACTAATCAAAACCTAGCATTAGTTACAGAGCATCTATGTACCAAGTTTCATCAAAATCCAATGAGTGGTTGTTTAGATATCAGTGGAACAGTCATTGAACAGCTAAAAATTAGCTAATTATCATGCAAATTAAGTAATTAATATGCACAGATTTTTACCCAAAACTAATCAAATCTGCGGACAAGTTCAGAGCATCTATATACCAAGTTTCATCAAAATCCAATGAGTGGTTCTTTAGATATCATGGCACAGTAATGGAACAGCTAAAAATTAGCTTATTATCATGCAAATTAGGTAATTAATATGCATGGAATTTTACCAAAACCTAATCAAATCTGCGCATTGGCCCAGAGCATCTCTGCACTAAGTTTCATCAAAAACTAATGTATGGTTCTTGAGATATCAGTGGAACAGACGGACACACATACACACATACATACACACACATGCACACCCACCCACACACACATACATACAGACACACTAACTGCAAAGACTCCCAATTTGTGCTACGCACATGGGAGTCAAAAATTAAAAAGTTGACGCAAATGACGACAATGGACAATCACTCATATGTCACTCAAAGTCAACAGCGGAGCTAAAAATGTTAAGGAAATACGGGAAATGATGAGGTTTTGTGAAATGTGACCAATGTGTGTTCATTAGTATCCCAAGCTATAGCTATACATGTATAAATGCTACTACATAAAATAAACATAGTTTAGATTAACCAGATGTAAGCTAAATGTGCTCTTGTGTGGTGCTGATATACATCTTTATAAAAAAAAGTCATCAATAATTGTACAAACTGACTTTACTTTCCATATTCTTTTTATGCTAGGTTTGAAAATATGTTATTGCGAGAATATTACAAAGGCAGTATGGTGATCATATTGATTGATGCACAATGGAGGTGGGTAAGATCAAGTACTGCCTGAGAGCTTACTTTGCAGTATTTTGGTGATAACCTCGTTATACATCTTTTAATATTTTTATTTATTTATTTTTTTCCTGCTTGTGTATATAATTTAGTATGTAACACATTCCAGTCCCAACTAAAAATGTTTTACAAGAATTGTGACTGTGCAACCATTTGTATTCAGTGATGAAATATGCACAATAGTCTTACTATGTCTGATGTAAACACAGGTTAGAAATGAACATAAATAACCTGGAATGCATTCAATGTTGGTGACTCCAAAAAAGGGAAATGTTGAACATTGGAACAGGTAAAAATCTGTTTTGGTGAATGCAAATATGGTCATTTATATTTTGCTAATCTAATTTTCTATCTCTATGGAACACTGTGTTATATAGGAAAC